CCCTCTTCGAAGGCTCCGTCGTCGACTCCTCCCTCTTCGAAGGCTCCGTCGTCGACTCCCCCCTCTTCGAAGGCTCCGTCGTCGACTCCTCCCTCCTCCGCTGCTCCATCGTCGACTCCTCTCTCCTCGGCTTCTCCCTCCTCGGTTGCTCCCTCCTCGGCTTCTCCCTTGTCAACACCTGCGGAGGAAACGTATGACCCAAAGGCGCACTGGGGTATCGCCAAACCTAAGGGCTTGCTCTTCGACGCGGGTGATGGTTCTACTTTCATCATGAACGGCTGGAACACCCGTGACATTATGTACAATGCCCTTACTCCTGCAGGCCGTGCCAGAGTCACTAAGCTCTTCACCCAAGCTCGGTCTATGGGACTGACTGTTGTACGGGCGATGGCCTGCAATGACGGATCGAGGCACATCATTCAAAAAAATCCTGAGACGTTCGACGAGACCGTGCTGCAAGCTTTAGACTGGGTAATGGAGGAGTCGAGGAAGTTTGGAATCCGCTTGGTTCTGGCATTCGCCGGGAACTGGGAGAGTAAGTCGGTGTATGCCTCTTGGTACAAGTATAGGAGTGGCAACAACCAGACTGTACCTGATGACTTCTTCCGTGTTAAGGACATGAAGGACTGGTACAAGGCGCTGGTCACAAAGGTGATTTCCAGGAGGAACACAATCAGTGGGATGCTTTACAAGGAAGATCCGGCCGTCTTCTCCTGGCAGTTGATGAATGAGCCTAGGGCTACGTCCGACTTTAGTGGCAAGACGGTGCAAGATTGGCTGCGTGAGATGGCAGCTTTCGTCAAAGGCTTGGACTCGAAGCATATGGTGTCGGCGGGTGTGGAGGGCTTCTACGGGCCGTCTGATCCTTCGCGCTTCCCTGTCAATCCAGACCGCTGGGCTGAGGAGCAAGGTAACGACTTCATAGCAGAGGGAAAGATCCCCAACATTGACTACCTGACCGTGCATATCTATCCTCAGCTCTGGATGCCCGGGCGCCCCTATTCGACCTGGCTTTCCTTCACGAGCAAGTGGATTAAGGGCCATGCTGAGGACTGTGTGAACCAGTTGAAGATGCCTATGGTGTTTGAGGAGTTTGGGTGGAAGGGTGACGATGTGAATGCCACCGACGCAAGGAACGGCTTCTTTAAGGTGGTTTTCGATGAGACCTTGGAGGCTGCAAAGGGGAAAGCGACGGCTGGGACCATGTTCTGGGCCATGGAAGATCCCTCTGCATTCTTTAGTCCCTGGGCCGTTTGGTACGAGAGGGATATAGATTCTACCGTTAAGCTTATATCTGACCATTCTTTCGAAATCAATATGGTGATGAAGTCACTCAATTAGAGCAAGTGCTGTTTTTTTCATGGTTTTTGTAGTCTCTTTCTTGGTCAGGTGGTTGCGTATCGGGGCTATCTTGTCGTTGACTGGTGTCGAGGTCGTCGTCGTCCATCGCAGACCAAGTGGATCCGTTGCTGCGTGTTCGGTAAGATGCTCGGGCGGGTAAAGGATGAGAGTTGCTGTCACCAGCCACCTTTGTAGATAGGGAATCTGGGGCGGACAGTGGAGAACATGGCTTCATTGCCAGGGAGGGAGGGAGGGAGTAGAGCTGTGTACGTCTGTACTGCTGGACTCTGCAAGCGACGTCTGCCGCACCTCCGCTTTTTGCAGCGGGATCTCCGCTTTGTGCCACGGGATCTCCGCTTTGTGCAGCGGGATCTCCTTTTTGTCCGGTGGGATCTCCGCTTTGTGCATCTCCTCTTTGTGCAGCGGGGCCTCCGCTTTGTTCGGTGTGATCTCCGCTTTGTTCGGCCGGATCTCCGCTTTGTTCGGCCGGATCTCCGCTTTGTGCAGCGGATCTCCTCTTTATGCAGCGGGATCTCCGCTCTGTGGAGTGGGATCTCCGCTTTGTTCGCTTCGATCTCCGCTTTGTTCGGCGGGATCTACGCTTTGTGGGGTGAGATCTACGCTCTGTGCGGTGGGATCTCATTCCCTTGGCTGGTTAGTTGAGCAAATGGGATTGACGTCTATTACTATATTGTGAAGAATAGTGAAAAGGATCGATGCGGCGGAAGTGCGCTGATGATCCTGTTTCCACTGAAGCTGAGCGAAAGAATACGAATTACTGTACTGGAATAAAATCGTCCCGAGCGCGGGCAGGAGAGAGTCTCCGCTTTGTGCCGCGGGATCTGCCTACTGGGATTTCCATGCTAACCCAGTACTTGGCGCTAAGAACCACTTCACCTTCTTTCTATGGATCAGGGACGACAGCATGCGATTGCCTTTTTTCAATCAGTGAAACCACTTGACGAAATGGACAGGACACGTTCGACGAATTGTGAACCTTCTGCCCGCTCTTAGGGTGCATGCGCGTGCGCGCGCCACACACACACACACATAGAGAGAGAGAGAGAGAGAGAGAGAGAGAGAGAGAGAGAGAGAGAGAGAGAGAGAGAGAGAGAGAGAGAGAGAGGATGATTTGTCTTTGTTTGAGAGAAAAGGCGAAGTCGGCGCATTTTAGCGTTTGACATAGCCGGATTCAATCCAGCGATTTTAGCGTTCGACGCTGAAGCAAGTGAGACGAGTCCCATTGCATTGCATTGTGAATTGATTGATTAATAATGGACTCTGCTCCTCTGCACACGGTTTCTTTTCCTAGCGTCTACCGTTCTGTTTAGGTGGCGCGCAATGCAGTTGATTTTTTGGGCTTCGAAAGCCCTTTCTATATCTGTAAATGCGTCAACTTTCAGTCCTTTCTGGACCCCCTCGGCATAGATTGATCTTTATGCAAGCCTAGCTATGTACCTTCTTTTTCCTTCATTCAGTCCTTTTATTCTTTCTCGTTCATACGTCCGTCATTCAGTCCTTTTTATTCTTTTCCCTTTCTTCGAGGCATGCCAACCAATCAGACAGTCGACCCGTGAACTGCTCGCTTTGGCACTCAGGTGAATTCCACTGGCACAATCAAATCGCATCTTCTGTCGATCGTACGGCCTTTACTACGTAGTCTTCGTATTGAGCGACCATATCATGTCTTCTTCCATCGCCGTTTTTATTTTTATTTTTATTTATTTTTATTATTATTATTATTTAAATAAACAATACGGTTCAAGGCCACTATAATCCCGGTGCAGTGGTGAGTGAACCACCCGGTCTGCCATTGTCCTAGTACGACGACAATTGTGTCATTTAATCATGAACTACTCTTGGAGGTATACACCTGAGGTTTCGTCGAGTCCAACTTCCGGTTGGCAGCGAGGAGGACTCAGACAGAAAACGAGACAGTTACAGTCTGCAGGTGCGAGGCTGAAGGACCTGATGCGCAGCGAGATTGAAGCCCCCTCCGAATCAGGAGATGTTGCTTGACACTGTTTGATGCTTAATACTAGTTAATAGGTCGGTGGTTCAGTGTTGTGGTTGTCCAGCGGTCATTTGCAGTCATTGGGAGTCATTTGCGGGCACTTGCGGGGGCACTTGCGGGCACTTGCGGTCGCTTGCGGTCATTTGCGGTCATGTGCCTCTGTGGAGAACGTGGCGTTTATCCAGCGCAGAGTTTGCGAGGAGCACGTGGGGTTTCGATCTTGCGCAATTGTTAATGGGAAGTATAGTCACCCATGACATGGCAGAAGCCAGTTAAAAAAATATATGTGAGGTGAGAGTAAAATTATATATACCTGTCCCCCGATGAGGAGAAGACAGCTTCAAAAAGAAAAAAAGAAGAAAAAAGGGGAAATTCTTGGTTTACGTTAGGGAGCGATCGAAGGAATGACAACCAGGATGTGGGCATGGAAACATGATCCATCTTTGTGTGAACAAGTGTAATAACCTCCTGGTTTATCTCCATCCTGCTTATCTTGTTGTTTATTGTCTTCTTTGTCTTCCTCCTTCTTCTTCTTCTTCTTCTTCTTCTTCCTCTGCTCCTCCTTATCCTCCTCTCATCGTCCTCCTCCTCATCCTCCTCTCATCCTACTCATCCTCCTGGACCTCCTCCTCATCCTCTTTGCTTTCGCCGCCATGAGAATTGACTCAACCTAGGGCATGCACACAGTGCAACACGAACTTGCAAAAAAAAGCGTCTCTGGCCGGTCACATAGTGTTCCCAAACCCCTAATTGCATTATTCATGCGCTCATCGTTTGACAGCGGCCTGAGAAGCCGCGGGGCGAGGGCTTTTGTGGTCACCTATGGAGGTGACCGCAAATGCTTTCTTTATTTTTTCAAATTTTGTTTGGTAATTGGCCAAATTTCATTCATGAAAGTTCTTCCCAGATTGTCAATTGCACGGGAGAATAGCTCATCAGGGCATACGTGGCGTGTGGATGCACACAACGCAGGAATGAAAAAAAAAAAAAAAAAAAAAAAAAAAAAAAAAAAAACTCTGCAGGTTTTTCGGCTGGCTTAATAGCTCAGGGCATACGTGGCTTGTGGATGGACAGAACGCAGGAATGGGAAAAAAAAAAAAAAAAAAAACACTATGCAGAATTTTCGGCTGGCTGGCTTTGTGTGACCGGTGAAAAGCGCCAATTCCTCATTTCTCCAGATGGCCGCGGGCTTGTCCCATCTGTAAAGCCAGAGCAGTGCGACCCCGTTACCGTCTTCCCCCGAACATAACGCACCCTAAAAATGAATGTATATGAGTTATACTTACGGCCAGATACAGCCAAAATGAGGGTGCGTTGTGTTCGGGGGACGACGGTAGTGTGCCTAAAACCATAATCATTCAGCCTTTCCTAAATTTTCGCATACTTCATGGATTTGCGGTCGCAGGGTGAGTATATGCACTTATTCTCGGTAACCAAAGCGCCTGACGTCGATCAAGACCTGACGTCGCCGCGCCCAAAACACCTGACGTCGATCAAGCGTAAGCAAGACCAACAGATTGTCAAAGAGCAAGACAAAAAACCAAAGAGGACACATAGCAAGACGAAGACCACACAGAACACGAAAGGAAAGACGGACATGACAGACGATAAGACTAAACACGACAGGTGTCCCCGAACGCGACTGTATCATTAGGATAAAACTTGAAGCGTGGAAGCGGAAAAACCGCACGCAGGAGTATGACCTGACCGCCAGGGGTATGACACCTGACGGTTCTGATGATGACCCACCCACTGATCAAGTGGTTAAAACTTTTATCAATATACCATTTTTGTTGCAAGTGGAGTTTCATGTTGAAGAATATCGTCGATAAAAGCCTCATATACCAGAATCCAACCAGATGGATAGTATGAACGGCGTTTGCAGAAGATCTGGGTGCCATCTTAAGCGTCTGTTCCCAGAAGATATGAAAACTATCCTCGACTGACTGAGATTTGAAGCAGTCACGGAAAAAAGAAGTACAGGCGTGCTCTTTCCTACTGCGCAGTGCGCACCATCTCCGTGGGCAAGGTCCCATTTGCACGGATTAGGAGATCTCCGCCGTTGATCTGGGCTGTCTATGGTCTCTATCTCTTAGGAGATTGGAAGTGGGACCGAGCCCCGTGTACGTACGGACTGCAAAGAGATTGAAGATGAACCACTGCAAATCAGCCTGTGTTAACACCACCACTACCTTCAGGAGGGCAAGGCTAATTGCGAGATCCCCCTGGCAAAAAGGATTGAAATAAGCGTCTGAATCTGGACGAGTTTGTGGAGAGGTGCAAACAATTGTGATTGATCTGCATTTCTGCATCTCTTCCTGGAACACGTCCTGATTCAGACACTGATTCCAATCCTCTTTGCCTGTTGTATCTGCCCGTAAAACCTAAACCCGCATTCTTCGGAACACAATTCCTCGGGGACTTTAGGCGCCCGAGGAATGTCGAACCAGCCCCTTGTGAATATAACCTAAAACCGCATTCTTCGGAGGCCGGCCACCACCTGACTGAAATCGCCTCTGGCGGCTGGCGCCGAAACCAGAGCAAAAAAGGTCGCGCTCGCACTTCGGAAAAGCCTGGTAAAAAAAAAAAAAAAAAGGTTGGTCTGCAGTTGGACACCACTTCGGAGAAAACAGGCTCGGAGGCAGTGATGGTTTAACAACAATGTGTTTAGTACGGAGGGATCTCCTTCAAGTGCGAAAACGACAGATTGTAGTGAATGGAATTATTAATTACTTTGAAATTCGGAGAAGGAATTCGATCCTTTCTTCTGCACAATGCACACAGCAGTGACCACGTAACAGATCTCCCTTGGAGAGCTTGTTTTTTCTTTTTTTTCTTTCCCTTGGAACGGTGACTACTTTCAGACATCATAATTGAACTGAGCAGCCCCAGGTAACTCAGAATTAATTGAGTCTGATCATCTGATTGCATCTGGATTCGAACATGGGCCTGATTCATATTTCAACAGGTGGTGGGTGTACCAACTGAGCTATGCCCATCTTCCCATTACCGCATCAGTAAGCAGATGACGGGGTAGAGAGGCCGAAAAATCGATGTATTGCGACATCCAGTGATATCTTTCTCAAAGAGAGAGGGTCCCTTCCAGACCCCTCGTATATGGTACGAGGAGGTTCCAAAAGATCAGCCATTTTCCGAAGTTTGTTGGATAAGCTCACCCAAATTGGAAACCAGAAGGAGGTGACTTTCTGTTAGAGTAAGGAATAATGGCGGTGGAGGGTGATCCGGTTCCGAGCTTTCTATGTCCAATCGGAAATAATGAGCAATGAGTGACATCATTTTGTACTTTTCTTGAGCCTCGTGAATAAACTGTTTAACGAAATCAGTCCACTTCTCTTCCGTCGGTCAGTGATCCACCAGTTCGGCAAAGTTAGCCTCATCCTGTTCTTCTCGAGTAGGAAGCTAATCACTATAACTGCCCTCATGGGCGTACTCGTCATCTAGATGTCCGATATGTTGTCAGGGCACGAAGAGCAACAACACGCCCTTGATTACCCGTAACTAGGCAGCAAGAAGTGGCAGCCGCAACACGTGAGCTTGTCTTGGATAGGTATAATCTTGTGCAAAATGGCCGGGCTGTTTGCAATTATAACACAGCCTAGCAGGTGGGGCAACGGTGGCGGAACACTAGCAGGCACCATGGGAGCAGGTGCAAAAGCGGGACTAGAAGCAATAGCAGGGGGTGCAGTAGGTGCAAGAAGCATAAAATAGTGCGGAGCTATTCGAGGAGCTATTCGAGGAGCTATTCGAGGAGCTCGAACTGCGTTTCTAGCTA